TATATAAATATAAAAGTTTAGGTTCCACATATGAAAGCAAAAAGTAGCATCTCTCTTATCTCATTTATTTCATTTAACATAATGATATTCAGTTCTATCCTTTCTTACAAATTCCATCAATCATTTTTCCTTAAAGCTGAATAAAGTTCCATTATATATGGCTCTTTATCCAGTTATCTACCAGTGGGCATCTAGGCTGGTTCTATTGCATGAGAATCATGACTAGTATAACAATGAACATGACTGCTCAAGTATTTCTATGATGTGTTGATTTAGAGTCTTTTGGGTATATCTCCAAAAGTGCTACAGCTGGTTCATATGCAAGTTCATTTTTAATTCTGGGGGGGGATATCCCTACTAATTTCCATAGTAGTTGCACAAATTTATTTCCCCTCAGGGGTTTATAAGGCTTCTTCACATTCTTGCTATCATTTGCTGTCATGTTTTTTCTGTTTAAAACTTTTAAATTTTATTTTTATTTTATGTGTATGAGTGTTTTGCCTAGATGCGTGTAAGTATGCCACGTGCATGCAATGCTCACAGAGGTCAGATGAGGGCTTTGGATCCACTGAAACTGGAGTTAAGGATGGTTGTTAGCAGTCATATGGGTGCTGGCAACTGAACCTGGGTTCAGCCAGTGCTCTTTACTGCTGAGCCATCTCTCCAGTCCTAGCATTCCTTTCTTGATTATAGCCTTTCTGACTAGGATAAGAAGAAAACTGAAAGTAGTTTCAATTCCCTTAATGGCTATAGATGTTGAACATTTTTACAAGTATTTGTTGGTCATTAATATTTCTTCTTTCTTTAGTTCATGAGAGCATTTTTATTAGATGATTTTTTTATTTCTCAGTGTTTTCAGTTCTTTATATATACTGTATTAATATATCAATCCTCTGTTTCATATTTTTTTTTGTCGATTTCCTCTAAATTGAAACAGTCCCTATCAAAGGGATGAAGGCAGCTCATGAAGATCAGGAGGCAAGCAGACCTCAGAAAATCCAGAGTGCTGAAATTAACAATATTCTCAAGGTCCCTCCCCAAATTATAGAAGCAATAGACAATGACAAGGTGGAGGGGAGCCCCTGACCATCTGACAGCCTGGAGAGGACTCTCTGGCTTTGGAGCTGTCTGCAAACTGTAGAGCCCTAGAGATGCTGCAGCTTTTGTGAGTTCATCACTCAGGCTGGCATGGGCTGTCTTTGAGTCACCTATAGTCACGTAACTCCTTACCTACATTCCTGTAAGCAACTGCCATGAACTCACTGGTTTTCCAAGTTGGACTTTGATGGTATCATTACATTGGTCTGTCATTAGTTCTCTCTCTGAGGTGAGTGGACATTTGTTCATGTCTCTGCAGAAAAAGCATCACACAACATATACACTTGACAAAGATTGTTTTGAATTTTGTAGCTCTCTATACTGTGGCAATTGTTTCATATGCTGTAAAGTTTCTTAATTCCATGTAGTGCTGTTTGCAAATCTTGGGATTATTCTTGTGCTATTAGAATCCTTTTCGGTAAGTCTTTGCCTATACATATATCTTAAAGGGTTTTCCCTATGTTTTCCTTTAGCCATACTGTTTCAGGTCTTACATTAATATCTTTGATACTGCTAAATTGATTTTTTGCACCGGGTAGGATATATGGGTCTAGTTTCATTGTGTTACATATGGAAATCCACTTTTCAGGAGCATTTGTTAGAGAAATCTCTTATCTCCAACATGTTTTTGACATCTTTGTCAAAAACTAGGTAGCTGTAACCATGTGATATTATTTCTGGATCCTTTATTCTTTTTTTTTGTGCAAGCACTGTGAAGCTTTTGTTACTATATCTCTGTAGTATAGTTTGAGATCAGGTACTGTGATGCCTCCAGCATTGCTCTTTAGCTCAAAATCTTTTTGGCTGTTTAGGGTCTTTTGTCCTATGTATCTATCTTTCTATCTATCTATCTGTCTATCTATCTATCCATCCATCCATCCATCTATCTATCTATCTATCTATCTATCTATCTATCTATCTATCTATCTATTAGATTTTTATCCTAGTTCCATAACAATTGGTATTTTGATGGGGCTTCCAATGTAAAAGTAGATTACTTTCAGTAACATGGTGATTTTCACATTAATTCTGCCCGTTAATGAACATGGAAGAACTTTCCATCTCCCAATATCTTCCTTGTCTTCTTTGCTTCATTGTCTTAAACTTTTTACTGTGTAGGTCTTTTACTTCCTTGGTTAGATTTATTCTTATATATTTTATTAAAAAAAAACTCTTGTGAAAGCCAGGCGTGGTGGTACATGCCTTTAATACCAGCACTCAGGAGGTAGAGGCAGGTGGATCTCTGTGAATTCAAGGCCAACCTCATCTACAGAGTGAGTTCCAGGACAGCTGGGGCTACAGGGAGATCCTGTCTTAAAAAGACAGAAAAAATAAATAAAAATAAAACCTCTTGCAAATTGTGAATTGAATTGGGGTTTTCCCCTAATTTCTTTTTTTGAATTTTATTTTTTCTTATTTATTTTTTGTATTTCATACAGAACATCTGTCACTGCATGTTTGTACTGACTGAACTCACATCGGCTGTTTCTTGTCATTTTACCCTAAATGATAAAATAGAACGGTGTATGGCATTTATATTTAATTGGGTACTCTAAGTACTTTCAAGACAATTTAGAGTATCTAGGAGGATGTGTGGAGGATATATACAAATAAACACTGCATGTGAGGGACATGAGCAGATGAGAATTTGGTCATCCACAAGGTCTTGGAACCAATAACCAGAAAGTGCCAAATAACAATCATAGCAAATGAAAACCACAGGAGCAGAGTATCTAGATGAGACTAAATGTGTTATCAGAAAAACCCACAAGAGAACATTGTATATAGTCACCAAAGCACTAAGCCATTCCCATAACATTTAAGACAGGACACTACATTTCAGAATTTATTTTCTTACCTGTGACTCTTCATTGCATATTTAGATCCATTACATTTTTTTCAGGAAATCTACTTTGCATACTTCTTGCTGAAAAACAAAATAAAATGCCTCCCATTCACTTTTTTTTTCATTACAGCTTTAACATATTCAGTAACACACTCCAGAGCAAGAGTGCATCTCTTTCACAAGTGGCTGTAACTTTCTAGGTTCACAGCTGAATTAATACAATTATACAATACTGAACTTAGTATAAGCCGAATATAAACCCTGTAAGAGATAAAATTGAATGAGTTTTTAACCTTTAAAACAGATCTCCATTTCATTTTAAAATGTACTGTTCCTTGCAGAGAGACTCATTGTTTTTGCTACTAACACTGAGATGTTGGTACATGCATTTCTTCTCTGTATGTATCTGATTATTACTAGTCATAATCGGTTGCACTTGGATCCTTGGTGCCTGTGTATGTCTATAAAGTAAAAAAAAAAAAAAAGAAATCCTTGTTTAAGTTTTGTAAATTTAATCTAAGTAAAATTCAACAGAATTTTAATATTGTTACATTGTCAGAAAATTTTTCCTTTTGGAAGTCTACTGAGAATCTTTGAGGTGCCATGTTCATACTTCAAAAAAATGTGGTCCATGGGCATTAAGTAATAATGTCTTCTTAAAAGAAAACGGGTGTTTGGCCTTCATTACTTAGGAATCACAAAGACAGAATGTCTTGCTATTTAGACTTTGAGTATCTGTACTCTGTTGATGCTTTATTCTGTACAAGTCATTATTACTATAGAACTTGTTTTTGAAAATTTCCTGTCAACTTAAATCTGAGTTATGCATGCTAGGGACATGCTGTGCAAGGGTGACCACGTATTGCAGTTTTTATTGGGACAGTTACAATCTCTTTCTCTCTCTTTTCTCACCTGCTGTGTTGGCATAATTGTCCAAGTACTCCTTTCTCAAACAGAACTGCCCCAGTTTGCGCCATTCATTGAATGATCACTACATGCTATGTGCCTCCTCCTCCGATGCACACTGTGTAAGTTACAGGTTGATCAAACAAATGAATTTGTACATCATCATCATTATAAGAGAAGTGAGCCAGTAAACATTATTTATAAATTCTTGATTTGGCTAATATTCATGTATCCCTTCATGCCCAGAAATCTTCATGATAAATAGCTGCTTGAGTTTAAATTGAAATATTATGTTTTCTTCTCTGTAAATAATTTTATAACATTCTCTGTTTGGTAAATAAAACCAGAAAATTATACAATTATTTTTTACTTTGGCTGCCAGGTTACAAAGCCTTATTTATTACAAAATCAATGTAATCTTTTCACAAAGCCACCCTGGAATATCTATTTCTTTTCCATCTTTGTTGTTGTTGTTGTTGTTCTTTGGTCCATTGTATCTTACCTGTGATTATAATAATCTTCACAAGGATACAGCTATATTAAATATAATGTTCCTAATGTGGTAATATTTCTCATTAGTTTTCTTAATTCTAATTAGAATGAATTAAGAGACACTACCAATGAGATTTATTTTTCGTACTATAATTAGGACGGTAATACCAACTCTCAAGTTAGATTCATGTGCAATTGAACTATCCTAGGCCCCTAATATTCATTCTACTTTCCTTCTATTGTCCATGTAAAAATCTAGAAGAAACAAAGGTCAGAACAAAGTGTTTTGAAAATAGCTTGTGTACTGAGATACACAAGGTCTTCCAATTAAACTTATAAGTAGTAAATATCATTAAATCCAGAGACCTAACTGAAACATAATCATAAATTTTAAAAGCATACTATGAATAAGAGATACCTTTACAGTGCTTGCTGCAGGTCAGGCATTATTTCCATGAATTAAATAATTTCTTTATATTAAAGCTACCAAT